TCTGAATCCCTCTGGCCTTCTAAGAAGGCCTCTGTGTCATCGCAGAAAGCTCTGAGAAGGCCCGCCCCATCTGCCTTCCCCCGTTAAGTGCGCCACCGACATTCATGCGGATGGATATTTTTCTCGCAATGCGTTTACCGCGCGGCGCTCCCTGTAGAACGCTCCAGTAGGAGGACGTACGAGCCGCTGGTGAGCACCTCGTCCGCGACCCGCTCGGCGGGCACGCGGGCGACGTGGGAGTCGTCGAACCGCCACCACGCCCCAGAGGACTCGTGCCAGCAGTGCGCCACGTAGTGCCCGCTGAAGGGCGTGGCCCCGATGTTGGAAGAACAAAAAAACCTAAGCACAAACTTCCCGATTCTCTGATGCCGGCGTCGCATTTTGATCACAACGGGCGGCCGTGTCCTGTTTCGGGTCCTGGGGCCACCACAGATCAATCTGGCTCCAGGAATGCCGCAGGAAGATGAGGTCTGGGGCCCAAGTCGTCAACTCCTGCGACGCTGCGAAGTGCTCACAAAGTCGGATCTCCAGGGAGGTCCGCGCGGATTCCGTGGATCGGCGCTGCCCCCTTCTCCCTGGCGCGCTCCGCGCGCCGGGCCAGGGAGGGGGCCCCGGCAGCGGTCCGAGAAATCCGCGCGGAGCTCTCAAAGGTCATGCCTATGCTGTTTGTTCTTCCTCCCCAGACAACCGGCGTCTCGATGTTTTCGAGACACGGCCTCACGACCTCTCCACCACTTCCCCGGGACCAGGTTTTCCTCCCGAGCCGTTGTTCGGCAGTCCCGAGGCCTGGTCGGGGCTCCGAGGGGCTGAAAACCGAGAAGAACCCCCCACCTCGGCTCTTGCCTCGACGCTGGATGTCTGGGTCGAGATGTGCTGGATCACGGCGTAGAGCTCGTACTCCACGGGCGCACCTGAGGGGAAACGATGGGGGGGGGACTGGCATACAGTCGGGGCGTTGACCTAAGGAACCCTAAATAAGGAACGAGGCCCCTGTTTCCCTTAACTTAAACTTCGATTCCCCATGGAAAAACCTAAGGAAGACCCAAGGCAAACTGTAAAACAATCAAGGAACGCCGAGCCCCTCCCCGACGCAAAGGGTTCCTTGGTCAGCGCCCCGACTGCACGGGCGGGAGCACCGACCTGGACTCGGCGATGCATCGCCGACGGCTCGGCGACGAGCACCCGGCAGGGACTCCGCCCGCTCCCGGGCGGGGGCGGGGGCCTCGGGCCCCTCTCGGCGGCGAATGGGCAAAATGGGCGGCCGCGGGTCGCATGCCTCCCCCCCTATCGGCGGCGAAGGGGCGGCCGAGGGTCGATAGCACACCCCCCCCCCTAGGCTTACAGGCCTCGGGGGGGGGAAAAAAAAAAAAAAAAAAAAAAAAAAAAAAAAAAAAAAAAAAAAAAAAACGCGAGCACGCATGCCACGCTCCTCGGTCCACGCCTCCCCCCTCCCTCCCCCCCAAAGGCTCAGAATTGGCGGCAGATCTCTGATGAAGCTGCACTTCGACCGCAGCCTCCCCCGCGCGTGCCAACTCCGAGTTTCGGGGTAATTAGCGGGGGGAGGAGTCCGGCCATTGCTTCCCCCCCCCGCCCGCCCGCCCGTGCCCCCCCCTTCTCGCTGTGCCGCGGCACCCCCCGCGGCCGCGGGCGCCAGAGGGTCCAGCAGCCCGTCCAGGCGCAGGGGCGCCAGGCCCCGGGGGCGAGAGCCGTCCGCCGCCACCGCCACCCGCGCCGCGACCTTCGAGCACTCCTCGGCGGCACGCCGGGGGGCTCGGCCATCGGATCGTCGCAGCTTCGCAGTCGAATCGGGTCGGCCGAATCGGATCGAGCGATCGGATCGATCGGGCCGCATCGTATCGAGCCAGCCAGAACCGATCCCGCATGATATCGATCGGAGCGACATGCGTCCCGACGGACCGCCGCTCGCCGCTCGCCGCTCGCCGCCGCGTCGTGGGGAAATCGTGGCGGGCGTGTCTCTCGGGGGGAGGAGGGGCAATTAACCAGCCTCGAGCTCATCCCTATCCTCAAGATCGACAAACCGAGAGGCGACGACCATCTTAGGGGTGCGTCCTCAGAAGCTGAGGCAGACGTTAAGATCGGCACCGAGATCAGGTGATACCCATCACAGGGACAGGGATCTGCTTCAGGCTGGTGGAGTGACCCCTGCTGCGCGGCCTGCCGATATCCCCGGACCCCATCGGACCATGAGAAAAAAAATCACGGCGCGAAGTTTTCCTCTAATGTCGGCCTCTCACGGGGCCCTTGCCGGGCCCTGGGCCCGTGAGAAAACTGCTCGAGACGAAAAACGGGTCCTGGGGAATAGGTCGAGACCTTGGGGTGGGACGCACAACGACATACTAGTACTATACATATGTTGTCCTTGGAGGCGCGCGTCCGACCCGAACATATCGTACACCCATTTTGTAGTATGTCGTTTCCAAGGCGATGTGGCCAGAAAGCGCCCGCCACATCGCATACACTATAAGAGTTCTTGGTGCGCGCGTCGCCCCTGGGGGGGCGACGCACACATAGTATTAGTGTGGCGGAGTGACGCCGACGGGGTGTCGGCTTTACGAAAAAATCCTGGCGTCGGGGGTCTGGGTCGGCTGCACGCGGTGCGGCAGTGGCGGCGCCCGCGTACTCTGGCGCAAACCCCCCCGGCGCCCCCAGCCAGCCGCGCAGCAGATGGCACTGTGGCGAAGGGGGCCACTCTTACGCGCGGGGGGGCATACAGGTACGGATACCATCTACTCCCCGTACCTTCTCTGTCGACTATATGCAAGAGTGACCCTGGGTAAGAGTGACCTTTGGTGCGCGAACTAAGGGGGCGCCACGTGGCCAAATCCAAGCGTGCAAGCAGCCGCTATCGCATCGCGCCCAGCGATCGGGGGAACCCAAATGAGCCCGCACCCAAGGTCGTTCCGGCGAAGGGTCACTCTTGCGCGTGCCCGGCTCTGGGGGGCATGCTGATCAGAACTTCGGGGCGCCGCACGCCGTGGCGACGAGGGAAAGGCAACGGCAGTGGTACACATCGCAGCCGATCTCCAGGCCGGAGGCGCCGGCGGACCCTCGGGCGAAGGTGGGCAGGCCGCCGCGCCAGCGCCGCACGGGCGAGCCGTCCCCGCGCGGCAGTCGCCGCTGCCGCTCCTCCTCGATGCGCCGGTCGCGGGCCCTGCGCCACTGCCTGTCGCGCTCCGCCTCCGCGCGCGAGCGCAGGTCCCTGGCCCGCTCCTCGGCGCGGGAGCCCGGGGTGCCGGCCGGCATCCCGAAGTGGTCACCGAGGTCGTCGAAGCCGGCCCAGCGCAGGAGGGCGTCCCCGCCGGGCAGCTCCAGCAGGTCCTTCTGGAGCCTCTGGGAGCCCCTGGACACGCAGCGGAACTTCGGGTCGCCCGGGGCCTGCGCGATGCGCTCCAGCAGCTTCAGGACCAGCGCGCACGCGCGCTCCTGCTGCTCCCACGGGAGGGAGGCCAAGGGCCCGAGCGGGTCGCCCGGCACGGCAGCGGGCCCCGCGCCCCCGGCCGAGCTGCCGCTCGCGCCGGGCCTCGCAGGGGCGCCCACGTCCATCGGTGCTCTCGTCTCGGCCCTGCGGTGCTCCGCGGCTTCCGCTGGCAGCGACGACCGATTGCTGGCCGAGTCGCCCTGCGAGGGGGAGGCGGCGGCACCCGCCGCGGCGGCGGCGGGAGCGGTGCCGCCCGAGGACGTGCGGCGCACGGCCTCCGCAGGGCGTCGCCACTCGAACCTCTTGAGGTGCAGCTGCAAGACGCGGGGGAGGCGCCACGGGGTGAAGCGCTTCGTCCCGCACACCGGGCGCTCGCAGCCAGGGCACCGCCACGAGTGCTCCTCCAGGGGCTCCTCCCTGCAGAAGGCCCCCAGGGCATCTGCGAGGGTGGGCGCCGCCTCCCGCGAGGGGGCGTCGGAGGCGGCGGGGATCGGGAGGGGCAGCGACCAGAAGAGCTCGAAGGTGACCTCGACCCGGCCGCACGCCCCGCAGCGCAGAGCCGAGCGCAGCTGGCCCTTACAGTCCAGCGAGAGACAGTCCGCCACCGTGCCCCTCGGCACGTAGACGCTCTCTGACATGGCTTCTGTCAATGCTCCAAGGGCCCCCACACCAGAATCCAGTTGCTTGCACCGCCCTCCCTTAGATGGTCGTTCTGGGGACCTTGCTGGAGCCATCGCTCCACTCATGCGTCGATGCTGCGTGGAACGTCCATCGCCTTGAGTCGAAATCCGAACTTGAGTCGAACAGGAGTCGGACAAATCCGCCGGTTGGGCCGAAGGGCAGTCCCCCAAACGAGCATCGAATCTCCCCATGCCGAGGGCCCCCTGGGCGCCCAGAAGCTTCAGAAGGGTCTCCAACGCTTGCAGGATGCTCAGTGAGGCTGCCCAGACCTCACAAGAAGGCTTCTCACATGGCCAGTGGACTTTGAAGACGACCGAAGAGGCCAAAGAGGCCCCAAGATAGCCCCAAGAGAGGCCCCATGCATTCAAACTCACAGAAGACACATGAATTTACTTCGAACGATCCCCACCGAAACCTTCGGCGTTTGTTCCCGTACGCTGTAACCAGCCTGAGCTCGGCGATCATGTCGCGTTTGCACAAACGACGTTAAGTCGGTCGCTGCTGAATGTACTCCATCACGTACTGTTCGGTTCTCTGTTGTCTTACTGACAGGTTGTTTGTTCTGCTGTGCTCTCAACGGGGCGGCGTGACGTCGTGAAGCCTTTCACATTTGACATGTAGTCTAGTCGGTCGTTGCTGCGCCTGTTTCCTACTGCTGCCAGCTTTACGTCGGCTCGCATACTGCCTTTGATGGGGCGCCATTCATCGGTCGCTCATGTGTCTACAGTCTTCAACTGTGTCATATGCAACGGTGCTATGTTGCATGAACTTATTAAAACATGTTCGGTTATGTTATACGCGGGCCGGCGTGGCGTCGTGACACCTGTCACGTTCGATACGTCATCCAATCGGTTCTTGTTGCGACTCTTTGTTCCTGAGGCTAGCCTGGCATCGGCGCTCATGCCGCGTTTGATAGGGCGCCAGAAATCGGTCGCTGATGTTTCGGTTATGTTGTATCAACCATTGTCGATTCTGGACTACGTGGGCAATTACGTAATGTGGTACTACGCTGTTTTTAATTGCGGTATACTACACTGGGGCATGTTGTGTGTTGTTACCTTCAGCTCTTCTATATGAGCCTACTCAACAACATTATGGTACGATGTGTAGCATTAAGTGTGTTATGATGTATGATGCTATGTTCCACTCATGATGTTACGTTGTATGATGTTGTGGTATGGTGTCACACTCACCTTCAGATATGGTACGGCACATGTCACTCGTTGCCGTAGTGGCAATAATACTAAAACAAATATGCCCCGCGCTGATATAGTATAAAATTATATGTTCCGTTATACCCGTATGATTTGTCGTGCGTGTGTAGGGCATGGAATGTGATAACGTGTGATGGTATGATATGGTCTGTCATCGTATGGTATGGTATGGAATGTTACTGTGCGTTACGCGACGTATGTGTAGATATGTTCAGCACTATTGTGTGATATGTTGTACGGCTATGTGTTGCTCTGGTATGTCACAACACGTTTGTTGCGATCTGTGTGTGTGTCCGTGTCTGCTGTGTGTTACTGATGTCGATGATGTATGCCTCTTTGCTCATGCGACGTCACACCTGGACTGCATGAAGCCGTGATGCTGCGGCCCACAGGGTTCGAGGGAGAGATGAGTCACATGTTGCAAGGGCTCTGGGAGAGGCGGCTGTCCCATCTTACGGCATTATCGAGCCTGCGGAAGAGCGTGCGACATGTTGACGCCCTCATGCATGCAACGCGTCACATCATGGGCAGCTCTCGAAGGATCACCACACAGAATGCTGCGCCGGTACGGTGGCGGAACTGGCCGCAGGCACCCGGATGTGAAGCAAGCGTATCCGCCCTTGGGGAGGCCCGTCCCCAGGCGGCAAGGACTGCGGAAGCGCAACCTCTACCACCCCTGGGGGCGGGCGCCCCCACAGCAGAGAGAGCTCTGCCCAACACTTCTCGTCGCCCACCGACCTGGAACAGGTCGGACACGAGGGAGCCGTCGGCTGCGACGGCCCTCTCCCACGCCTCGTCCGCCGAGGCCGCCTGCCGGCAGGAAGCACACGTGCCCCGAGAGAAACGGGTCCTTGACCCCCCGGCCTTCTCCTGGGGACCATCAGGAGGAAAAGAAACACACAGACACAATTAATCCTCGATTCCCCCGAAAATATGGGAGAATATGGGAAGTGGGGGGGAAGACAAAAACCCAGAAGATATGAGAAAATATGGGGAATAGTTTATTTGTGTGTATTTATTTGTGTGTCCTGGGGCCCCTTGAGACCAGCTCTCCATCCCGAGCCGCTCCCCGACGGCCCCAGGGCCCGCGGTGGGCCCCGGCCGAGAGCCTCACGACCCGCTTCCGTCGGGACCCGACTGCTTCCTGGCGAGCCTCGTCCTCCGAGGCCGCCCGTGCCTCCGCCGCGCCCTGGCCCGGCAGCGGGGCCCGCCGGAGGTCCTCGTGCAGGGCCTCCAGCAGGGCCTGCACGAGCTCCTGCGCGTCCTGCTGGCCGGAGCCCTCGAAGGCGCGCGTGCGGCCCAGGAGCGACGCCTTCAGAGTCCGCGGCGCAGTGGGCTCGCTCCCGCCGCTGTTCCACAGCGAGCCGAGCACACCGCAGAAGGCTTCGCGGAAAATGCCAGGGAGGGTCACCAGCGAGGGCATCGGTGCCTCCTCCGGGAGAGGAGGCCCCCAAGGACCCCCATACGGGACTCCAACAAAAAGCGCCAAGCAGCGCCCAAAAAGCCTCGATCATCCAGATCCCCTCCTCCTCGAACCTCGATCTCCAAGGAGGTGGTGACCCCCTACGGCAGGTTCGTGTCGTGCCGACCCCAGCGTTGGTTTTTGACACCGCAGGGATCGTTCAACCTTGAACGATCGGCCGCTGCCGCAACGTCCGATCGTTCAACATCGATCGATTCTGTCGCCGGCGGCGTTCAACCTTGAACGCCCGCGCTGGGGTCGCCGCTGGTCGACACGACGCAAACCTACCGTACTGGTTCCGGGGCGAAAAAAGAAGCAACCACAACCGCTGGGCTGAGGAGGGAACCGCCCCTGGCGCCCCCCAGCGGGTACGACCTGCGCGCGGCGCCCGCTCTCGAGTGCCGCGCGCGGGGCAGCAGCGCTGGCGGGTCGGGGTCGGCCTCGGGCGGGCGCCAGGGGCGAGTCCCTCAGCCTGGCCATTGCTGTTCTCTCCCCTGAGATCCAACGTGGCCCCCAAAAAGACGCAGCATCGCAAAACATCACCGCCGGAGCCCCGGACCCCCTTCTCCCGAGCCCTGTTCCGGGCCGGATCGATCCGCGAGGCTCCTTGGGCCCCGAGGCCAGGCGAAGGAGCCCGCTGCGGAAAAAGAACAGACTGCCGCGCCAGGGTCTCGGGGCCCTTCGCCCATGACGAGGTGACCCCCCTTGGCACTGCCCGAGCTTCCACCACGCGGCCGTCGGCGGAGCCCCCTCCCCCGAGGGAGGCCGCGCCGCCGCCCGCGGCCCGCACGGGGCCTGCCAGGAGGGGCGCCCGCAGGCCCGCGGTGTGCGACAGGCACTGCAGCGCGCTGTTGAGGCCCGCGACTGCGCTCGCAGCGGTTGGCGTGCGTCGGGCCCTTGCGCCTGTTGTGGGCACCTGCCCGGCCACCCCAACCCCACCCGAAGGCCCGAATTTCGGGCTGGGGGGGGGCACGGGTTCCAGGTGTGTGGCTGTTCGTGTTCCCGGACCACCCCCCCCCCACACTGGGAATGGGGGGCAAAGCAGGGCCTTCGGGTTGGGTTGGGGTGGTTCGGTGGGTGGTGACTCTGCGAAGCAGAAATGGTGGGCCCCGACGCATGGAGCCCCAGAGCCGCCCTTTTTTTTGTTAAGAGAAAAGCCCCTGCATGGTTGCCCTTCTGGGCAGAGAAAGAGCTTGGGGCAGGGGGGGCCCATGGACCCTTCCTCGCAAGGCCCCCCCCCGCCCGCCCGAGCGCGGTGGCGGAATCGGGCGGCAGCGCACCTGGATAGCAGGTGTTGCCGAAGTTCGGGCGGGTGGTCACAGGGGGTGCCCCAGTAGGCGGGTGAAGGAGAGGGCCCTCAAGGGGCACTCTAGGGCCCCCGTTGGAGCCAGCAGGGGCCCGAAAGGGGCCCTATAAAGGGCCCCTCTACGGCCGTTCTCTTCCCCCCCCCCCTCTGGGTCGCCCCCCAGCTACCACCCGCCCGAGAAGTTCTGCAGCCCGCACAGCCCGGCGTCCGCCGACGTCGCCCGACCCGCCCGGGCGTGCCCCGCGTCGCGGCGCCCGGGGTCGCCCGCCCGCTCCCGGGCCCCCGCGGGCGCGGGCGCCTCCGAGCCCGGGGCTCCGGCTCCAGCGGCAGCAGAATGGGCCGCCCACCCCCTGCCGGAGGGAGATCTCGGGAGGAGCGAGGGCGAGTGCGGTCAGCCCGTGTGACAAGGAGGCGCGGTAGGGATGCACGAGCCTTGGAGGGCCATGGGACGCACAGAGACATACTAATACTATATGTCCTCCTTGGAGGCGAGCGTCCGACCCAAACATATAGTATACCCATCTTGTAGTATATCGTTTCCCGAGCGGTGTGGCCAGAAAGCGCACGCCACGACGCATATACTATAAGATTTCTCGGTGCGCGCGTCGCCCCTGGGGTGGCGACGCACATACAGTATAAGTATGTTGGGGTGATGCCGAGGCCATGTTGACGTTTTTCGGACGAGGTTGGCCAGCGAAAGTCGCTCAGGAGGAGCCGGAAAGGCAGGGATGCAAGGGTAGCCTTGGAGAGTCGGTCATCCTTACTGTGCGGGCTGCCTGTAGGGGAAAAAACAATGCCATGAGCATAAACAGTTGGAGGTCCGCGCGGATACCTTGGATCGGCGTTGGAGCCCACTCCCTGGCGCGCGGAGCACGCAAGAGGCGGCGCCGAAGGCGCCGCCAGAGGGTGCCAGCGCTGACCCGAGAAATCTGCGCGGACCTCCGAAAGTTTATGTTTATGTCAAGTTCTGGTTCCCCGAAGGACACAACCACACCGGCTGGGCTGATGGAATCGCCCCTGGCGACCCCGAACCCCCAAGCGGTGATGACCTGCGCGCGGCGCCCAGGGCATCACCGCTGGGGGGTGCGGGGTCGGCCTTGAGGGGGCACCAGGGGCGATTCCCTCAGCCCAGCCATTGCGGTTCAGACCTCACCTCCCCTCGCAGTGCAAAAATCACGACGGGCGTTCTGTGGCAGTTGTCGTCCTCCCGAGGCCGTCGCCTTGCCTCTGGATGATCGAATAACTACTCGGGGAGAAAAACCAGTCCTCGGGAAGGGGCCCAGACCTACATGGGTCCACGCCGCGAAAAAACTGTTCTTGCATCGGCGGCCAGGCAGAGTAACTGCGCTGGCGGAGGAGCTGCCCCGTTGTAGCGAACTGTGCCACAATGCAAGAAGCTCGCCGCGAGAAAACATGCCGTCGGAGTTCTGGGAGGGAGGCGCCCCTAAAAAGCAGGCCTGGGTTGGAGCGAGCCGCGAGAGCGGGTCGGACTCCGAGATCGGATCGGAGCGCGCCCGCATCGGGGCGGGAGCGGCTCGGGATCGGCATCGTTCGGGACCGCGGAGCGGGCTTGGCCCCTTCAGGTCGGAGAAGGAAATCGGTTTGTGTTGGATCGGCTCGGGGGGAGATAAGAATCGAAGCTTGGTGATCGGATCGGGACGAAATAAGAATCGAAGCTTGGAGGTGGGATGGGATCGACCTGGACCGTGAGCAGCCCTGCCTAAGGCATGCTGGAACGTCGATCCTTCACGCCCCACAAGACCGTGCGCTCCAGGTGTCCCGTATGGCCAGAGTCTCGCAAAGCACTGCCCGGCGCTCGGCTTGTGAGGTGGCGGGCGGGCGCTTTCCAAAGCTCGCCGCAGGCGCCAGCGCGTCTCGCTGGATGTGAGGGGTGAGGGTCTCGGCTGCCTCGCAGACCAGCTTTTCCGAGCTGTGCTGGCACCACGCGTGTCGTTCGCCTGGCAACCCTACCCCACCGCCTGTCTCAAAGTCAACCCCTGGCATTTCGGTGAGGCGCTTTCGAAGGTCGGCGTCCTACTGCTGCTACTCCTGCTCCTGCTCCCACCCAAGGTGACCCCCCACGCTGATGCGCCCTGGTTCTGGCGGACACCACCTTTGTAAGCCGACCGAAAAGCCCCGAGGATATGGCGTAGGCCTTGCGCATCGGCAGCCAGCTCCACTTTCAGCGTGCCCCCCTGCTGCGCCATGCGGCGTATCTGCTCTTGGGAGGGCTCGATGTGAAGAAAAGGCAGAGCGGCTCCTACATGGTTCTGCCGCATGAGGCAAATCCCATAGGTATCAATCCCGAGGCGAGTGGCCACCAAGGCGTAGACTTCGGCGACGGAAGCATCTGGGTCAACGTTAAGCATCCATTCCTCCCCGTCAGGCGATATAATGCGATACCGAGCGCCTAGCTCCATAAAGGGCCAGCCTGCTCCAGCTATGGACATCAGCTTGAGCCAATTTGGCAGCAACAATTGTCAGCAGAATAAGAAACAACTATAACGGAACAGGGCCACAAAGTCACCACCTGCTTGCTGCCTCCGCATAACCTCTTGGCTGAAACATAAGCGCCTCCCCTCAGGTAAAACAACGACAACTGCATAGGGAACCCCCTGCGTATGCAGGCCCGAGTGTGTAGAAACACATGTGCATGGACCTCATGCGTGTGGAACCGTTTGTGTGAAACCCCATGCGTGTGTAACCCCTATGCGGCTGGAACCCCATGCGTGTGGAACCCCATCAGTGTGGACCCGATGTGCGTGAAACCCCATGCGTGTGGAACCCCATGCGTGCGTGTAAGTGTGTCCCTGTAGAATCATACGTGTATCGAACCTCATCTGTGCGGAACCCAATGCGCGTGTGGAATATTATGAAGCCGATGGGTGTAGAATCCGTGCGTTTAAAATTCCATGCGTGTAGAACTCGTACCTGTAGAACCCCATGTGTTCGAACCCCATGCATGTGGACCCCATGTGCTTAGAACCAGGTGTGTGTGTATATGTGGATCCCCATGCGTGTGGGACCACATCCGCGTCACTCCGTGCATGAAGAATGAATCACATGCATGTGGAACTCCATGTGTACACGCTGCGTGAGCTACCCTGGTCCGCGCGCTCTCCGCTTGAGTTGCCCTACGCCGCGCCGCCGCGCGCGTGGCCGCGACGCCAAGAAGTTTGAGACGCCCTGCGCGTTTGTGCGGGCATCCTCTGATGTGAAAATCCGTGTGTGTGTGTGTGTGGAGGTCTCGGCCGAGGCAAGAGGGGCGGATTGCCCAGGGGAGGGCATTGCACGCATTCGCCAAGGAGGCTCGTCCAAAACATGGGCGATGCTCGGGTCGCTCGAGAGGGGGGATAGCAAAGCTGGGCGCCAGAGTAGCCGGTGCATCGAGAAAGGCCTGGCGGCGGGGACGAAACCGCCCGCGAGCAGCAGATTTCGCATCCCCCCCCCCTTTCCCTAGTGAACGTTTTCTTATTCGGCGTTTTGAAATGAAGCGGAAGGGGGGGTCATGGGGGGGTCTGGCTCTGGACCTCTGCTTAATGCGACTGTTTGGAACACTGCTCCCACGGGGGATCCTATGGGGAGCCGTCCACCTGCCTGAAACAGGCGCCCAAAACAGACAAGATCTACTCCATCGGGGGGAGGGGGGGGTGCGAGGGCCCGCGCCGATCGGCAAAACAATGAATAAGGAAAAGATGACCTAACCCCCCCCTTCGGTGGAGCTCCCTATGGGGCCACGAAACGCTGTACTGAGTGGGGGGGACGCATGTGGACGGTGGCACTAGGGCATTAGGTAGAGCTCCTTATGGGGCTACGAAACGCTATACTGGGTGGGTGAAACGCAGGGAAGAGGGGAGGAGGGAGGAGGAGGGAGGAGGGGGAGGAGGAGAGGAGAGGAGAGAGGAGAGGAGAGGAGAGGACAGGAGAGGAGAGGAGAGGAAAGGAGGAGGAACGCGGCGACCGTCTTTTCAAAACAAGGACCCAACAACACAGGTTGGTTGGGAACAGGAGCCCCGCTTTGGATGTGGGGAACAAAATCAAGCCTTGTGTGTAGCAACAGAACTGAAGCCGCGAAGCCAGACTTGCAACCTCGCCGCTGTGACGAACAAGCACGACGACGGGAACAGCAGGCATCGTGCTTGTGAAAAGGCTCCGCGGGAACAAGGCGCGTGCGATTGTACCTCATGCTGCTGCCGATACACACCCAGCGAGCAAGGGAAGCCGACTTCGAGATGGATGGACTCCCGCGGGGTGCGAGTCAGACCCCGCGGGGCTTCACGTCCATGCATGCATGACCCTTGCCTCTGCACCACCTTCATGGCTTTATGGTGGGCAGGTGGAGAAAGCGAATCGCCAGCGCCGCCTGGTTGCCAATTCTCCCGCGCACTTATCCCGCGCACGCACTGGCGCGCCCACTGTCCGCTCGTGTGTATGATCTGTTTCATCCGCTTCATCCACTCTTCATCCTCCGCCTCCCCACTCCCGCTACTCCTCCACCTTCCTCTTCTTCATACTAATCCTCTCCCCCTGCCCCTCATCCCCGTGGTCTCTCATCCAGGACGATTGCGAGAAAGAGATGGCATCGAGCTGGGGATGCGCGCATCATGAAGGGTCAGGCAAGAGGCCTTGTTTCGCAGGGACTTGGCCGTGACGGCGCCTCGCGTCACGAGCTAGTGAGCCCGTCCCTCTGAATTTGCGAGTGGCTGTACACTCTCCTGAATTCACGTGCGAACGTGGGACCAGATCACCATAAAATTCGCACGGGGCGTGCCAGGCGTCCAGGCAGGCACCAGTTCAAGACGTGAAGGACAGCCATGCACTCATAAATATGCACGCAAATACCGTGTGTATGTGAATATACACCATAAACATAAACATAAACATAAACATAAACATAAACATACAAACACAATCATACAAACATACAAACATACATACATAAAGATCAGATGTACAAGTACATCATGTATGTATAAGTATACACACTGAAACCATCTCGCGCCCTTCACGCGCGCCCAGGTTCTACCCGTCTTGGATCCTAACGTGTAGCGCGGAGGCGGGACCGTTCCCAAGCTCGCCAGCCCAACAGGCCAAAGGCGTGCTAAGATCCCTGGTAGGAAGGACCCAGCCCTTGTATATGATTAGGTCGCGCGCGCGGGGCGGCCGCTGGGGGTCTCCAGATGAATAGCACCCTGGACTTAGCGCGCTGGACTCGGTTCAGAAATGGGTTTCGCTCTGGGCGCGGAACTCCCGACCCCCTAGAGCGCTCCGAGCGTTCCACGGAACCTGCAGGAGAGCCAAGAAAGTCCGACACGGTCCAAGAGCGTTCCAATACGCCCAAGACCATGTTTTCACGGGCCACGACGATCCCCAAGAGAGACCAAAATCCTTGTTTGCCTGAAGGTTTAAAAGTTTTCAGGTTCTCGCCTTCTCGGCCCTCCGATGCTCCAAGACGGCCATAGAGGCACCAGCTTTCGCCCAAAGACAACCCAAAAGAGGCCCCCAAGAGAGCCCCAAGACGGCCCCAGGCTGCCCCAAGAATGCCACAGAACCTGACAAGGGGCCCCAGAGAGGCCCTGGAGTGGGAGCACTACCCTCGAGACGGCCAGCCACCCCTCCAAGACACCCTCAAGGAGAGGCACCAACGAGACTTCCTTGTGGCCCCCCAAAAGAGGGCCCCAGCCAGAATCACTGCCGCCCTGCACGGCTGCGCAACCTCGCAGAGTTTCGGGCCTTCGCCGCTCCACGGCGGCCGAAGAAGATACCCCGAGTCTCACCCCAAGACGCCCCCAAGAGAGCGCGATGACGGCCCAAGAGGGCGCCAAGAATGCCCAAGAACCCCAAAGGCCGCAGAAGAGTCCCTGAAGAGGGGTTCAAGAAAGGCCTGAGGGTGGGAACACCACCCTCGAGGCCGCCAGCCGCCCCCCAAGAGACCGTCAAGAAGCCCCCGCGAAGTCCCCACGAGACTCCCAGGAGGTCCAGAGAGGCCCCAACGAGGCACCTAAGATGCCCTAAGCGCCCCCCAATGGTCCCCCACGAGGGCCCCGAGACGCCAAAATCATCAACGTCCCTGTGGTGTCTGAACGATTTCAGCGTTGTCGCCTCTTCGGGCTTCCAGCGCTGCAAGACGGCCAAAGAGTCACCAAATCTCGCCCCAAGAAGGCCCAAAAGACTGCCCCAAGAATGCCCCAGAAGCCCCAAGACCGTCCAACGAGTGGGAACACGACCTCGAGACTGCAAGAAATTCCCCAAGACAACCTCAAGAAGCCCAATGAAGTCCCCGAGAGGCTCGCAAGAGGTCCGGAGAGGCCCGAACAAGGTACACGAGAGGCCCCAGGAGACTCCCAATATGCTTCACTAAAGGCTCCCAAGATTCCCCCGAACTGACTTCCAAGAGCCCCTCAAGAAGCCCCCGTACTCTTCCACATCACTCCTGCATGCCTCCGTCCTCAGTCCTCTGGCTTCCCGTTGTCCTAGCAAGCAGAAGCATCGCACAGTGCGGCCTGAACACAAGGCCCTTCTGAGCGAGAGATGCTTCTGAGTGCGAACCCTGGGATGCAATGGTAACCTGGGGTAGCTCCTCAATCTAAACCCGAGAGCGGAGGTGTGATAAAGAGGAGCGAGAAAGCCCGGAGTTGTTTTTGCATTCTACATTCGCATGCATAGCCCGCTGACCTCCGTTTCCGGCTGGTGCCAGGATTTCCAAAATGAGCAGCTCCTTCCCTCCCCACAACGGTTGGCGGAACACATAGTCCAATAGCTTGGCCTGACTTCGGCCCAACGTTCGACCGCATGGGCGTTTCCAAAAGGCAGGGGGCGGCGGTGATTCACCGAAGGAGACTTACATACATGCGTACATGCATGCATGCATGCATGCATGCATACGTACATACATACA